CCCCCAGCGGCCGCGAGTTTCTCCCGCGCGCCCGGGCGTTCCGTGGTCGGGAGCCAGCAGAACCCACCGCCGCCCCGCGAAGCGGGCGGCACCCCTGGGGGTGGCTGGCTGTCGACGACAGCAGCGACTCCCAGGGGGGCCGGAGGGGTCTGCCAGCAGGGGCTTATAGACTCGATATTTGGGAGCTCGCTGTGCACTACCATGACCCGGAAGTGGCGCTCCCTGGGCCCCTCGGCAGCCCGCGGGCCCCGCGCGACAGTTCGCGCCACGCCAGGCGCCCTCGGCACGAGCGCCTCTGGCTGTCCAGCGACCTGGCGCCGCGGCCGGCGCCGCTGCCCGCGCGTCCGCCTCCGCTGCCCGGTGCCGTTGCCGCGCGTTGCTGCCCGGTGCCGCGGCCCGCCCGTGGCGCGCGCCCGCCGCCGCCCGCGCCCTCAGCTAGCCCAGCGCGCTCAGCTCCCTGTCCGCGGCCCCCCCCGCCAGGCTTGGTGCTGCGTTGCGGCGAGGACAGCTTCGGCTGCGTGGCGCTGCAGCACGCTGCCCAGCGTCTGGTGCAGCCGGCGGATGGCCGCCGATCGCCCGTCATCTTCGGGCGGCGTGGCCAGGAGGCGCACCAAGGCCAGGGCGTCCTCCCCCAACCGGCCGTGGTTTTCGACCGCGAACGGGACCATCCACAAGCCAGGGCACCGCGCGCGCTTCTCGTTCTCGGCCGCAGCGGCCGCTGCGCCAGCGCGCTGGGCTGCCCCGCGCCCCAGCGCGTCCCGGGACAGCGCGCTGACCACGGTGACCATGGCACAGCCGCCCGCGCTGCATGGATTATCAGATCCATTCCCGCATCTCGCCGGCTGGCTGCTGCGTGCGGCAACACCATCTCTCCGTGCACTGCGCAGCCCTGTTCCTCGCACCAGGCTGCCAGCACGGCGCAGCCGGCGTCGTGGCGGCGGACGAGCCACCCGCCCAGCGCGCAGGATCGCGCGTGCCGCCCATTCGGGTCCAGCACAGCTCCGCACATGCTCTCGTCGGGATGCCGGTGCTGGCACACTCCCGCGCAGCACGGCAGGTCCTCGCCGAGGCGCACGCCCAGCGCAACGCTGACCTGCGCGTCTGAGAGGCGGTGCTCGGGCCAGAAGAGCGGACCCAGCCAGGCGTTCGCCCCAGGGCCGCCAGCGCAGCGCAGGGCCCCTGCTACCAGTGGGTCGTGCCTCGCCTCGTCGGCAACGATGCGCGCAGTCGCAGCAAGTGGGGCCGAAGCCACTCGTGCTGCGGGGCTGCGAGCCCCTCGTCGCCCACGTGGGCGGTCTCGTTCTGAAGGGCAGCCTGGAGGGCCCGCGCCGCCTCTGGGAGACACCTTCGCGCCCACGGGCTCACGGTGGCCAGCGCGCCCGCTCCGCCCAGCCCGAGTCTGCGCAGGCAGTGCGGGAGGCAGAGGTGCCATGACGCCGCCTGGGCCGCCGCGGCCGCGCGCTCCACGCTCTGCAGCCCCAGGCCCAACACGCTCTGCAGCTCCTCCTCCTCCTCCTCTTCCTCCACCTCCACCACATCCTGCTCCTCCTCCTCCTCTTCCTCCTCCTCCTCCTCCTTCTCCTCCTCCTCCTTCTCCCCCCCTCCTCCTCCTCCTCCTCCTCCTCCTCCTCCTCCTCCTCCTCCTCCTCTCCTCCTCCTCCTCCTCCTCCTCCTCCTCCTCCTCCTCCTCCTCCTCCTCCTCCTCCTCCTCCTCCTCCTCCTCCTCCTCCTCCTCCTCCTCCTCCTCCTCCTCCTCCTCCTCCTCCTACCTCCTCCTCCTCCTCCTCCTCCTCCTCCTCCTCCTCCGCCTCCCCGCTTCCTTATCCTCCTCCTCCCTCCTCCTCCTCCTCCTCCTTTCCCTCTCCTCCTCCTCCTCCTCCTCCTCCTTTTCCTCCCTTCTCCTCGTCCTCCTCCTCCCCTCATCATCATCATCATCCATCATCAATCATCATCATCATCATCATCATCATCATCAGCATCATCATCATCCATCTCCTCCCCCCCCCCCCCTCCTCCTCCCCCGCCTCCTCCCCCCCTCCCCTCCTCCTCCTCCTCCTCCCCCCTCCTCCTCCTGCTCCTCCTCCTCCTCCTTCTCCTCTTTCTCCCCCACATCCCCCCCCCCCTCCTCCTCCGCAGCCGCGTTGGCTCAGGATGTGTGGTTCCACAGGGGGAACGACTGGAGACGTCCAGTCCGCGGCTGCCTAGGCCCCGTTGGAGCCTGGCAAAGTGTTGCTCACACCGCGGTTGGGTGGGCGGATCAACGGAGGCGCTTCCCGTTCAGGCATTCTTGAGCGTCCCAGTCATGGGAGGCCACGCAGGCAGGAAGCAGAGGCGCGACTGGACGTGCAAGAGCTGCGTCAATCGCCACACGGGGAAGGCCCTGCCCAACTGGGGCAGCAACCTCAAGCGCCACAGTTGCCGCTTGCACAAGAAGGACGTGTTCGGCGAGGTCGCTGCACACGCGGAGCCGCCCAAGAAGGCCGAGGGGAGCAAGTACCCGCTAGGCAAGCTCGAGAAGCTGCTCGACTCCGCGCGGAAGGAGTCCGCCGACCTCAAGAAGGAGTTGGCCATCGGCAAGCCGCCGCCCTGGCAGGGAGCCGCCGAGTGCAGCGAGCCCATGGAGACGGACGCCTCGGACGCGGGCAAGATCGACGCCGAGATCAAGCGGCACTTCCGCGATTTGGCGATGCTCAAGGGCAGCGACAGCGAGAGGGCCCAGGAGAGGGTGGCCACGCTCAATGCGCAGCTGGCCGACGCGAGGAAGAGGCAGATGGGGCGCAAGCCGTCGCCCCAGCGCGCCCAGGTGCTGGCCAAGAAGGCCAGGCGGGCGGGCGAGAAGATGTCCAAGGCGGCGACCGCCGGGGACGCGGCCAAGGATGCCTTGGACGTTGCCCAGCTAGTGCTGGAGGACAAGGAGAAGGCCTACCAGGAGCTCCACACGCTGCACGAGGAGATGGAGGCCGAGCTCGCGCGCCTGCAGCAGCTGTTGCCAAGGGCGCCAGCCGCGCGGGTGCCGGCTACGGCTCTGGCGCGGGAGTTGGCGCCAGGACTCGGCCTCACCATTCCGGGGGGGTTCTCGCAAATCGTTGCGACGCAGCTGGGCGCGCACTCGGGCGAGGAGCAGACCCTGCCGCGCGCGGCGCTGGCGAAGTTTGCGGAGGGGCTCAGCAGGCGCATCACGGAGCTCGTTGTCGAGAAGCGGCCCAGGGGTGGCGATGACGAGGCGGGCGCGGGGCATCAGCCTCACGGCTCACAGGGGGCAGCAGAGGAGGCACCCCCACCGCGCGACTTCGTCGCGCAGGCCCGCCGGGAGCCCGACAAGCCCGAGGTGTCGGAGCTCCGCAAGAAGATGGCCAGGTCCGCCAAACCAGACGAAGACGCCGCCAAGGTTCGGGAGCTTGCCAAGGCGATGGCGATGGACGGCTTCGCGCCTCATTGAGCTCACCAGCCTCATATCGATGGTCAATTCAACGGCAGCCCTGAAGTCTAAGGGCGTCATCGCGTCGACGAACGTGACCTCGCGGGGCTCGATCGGGCCTTGCGTCGAGACGCTCGGCAGCGACACGTACGTGAGCGTGCTGCAGGGGCACCGCATCATGGACCCCACGAAGCTCGCGGCGGCGCAGAGGGAGACGCAGGATTCCGGCTGCGACGAGGTTTGGACTCTGGACCCCGGCGGCGGCCCCCCCCTGCCTCCCTTGAAGGCACGGTCAGCGGCGTGGCTATCCTGGCGACGGCGTCCATCTGTGTGACGGCGCCGCCGCTGCTCGACTCGCCCGTCCTGCACGAGGGTCGCATGTCGGCCGCGCGCGTGCGGGGCGCGCGCGGAGGCCTCGTGATGATCTCTGTCTATCTGGTGGACAGCGTTGGGTTCAGCGTCGTCAGGGGGTCTTCGCCCTGCTGCGCTACCTGGTGCAACTCAACCCCGCGGGCTACGACTACGACTGGGTCGTCGGCGGCGACTGCACATGGCGCCGGAGCTGCTCGAGCCCCTGTGGGGCGAGGAGGCCAACGGCATCTGGGCGGCGCCCAGGCAGGCCACGCGCCGCCCGCAGCTGGACAACGCGTCGACGATCGACTACTTCTTCGTCTCGGGCAACTTGGGCCCGAGGATTTTCGAGCCGACCGCGCACGAGCAGGGCGCCGCGGCGCCCCACCTGCCGATGCAGCTTCGGCTCGCCGGGCAGGACATGAAGATCTCGGGCCGCGCCCCTGCGGCGCCTCGGCCCATCCCAGCGGCGCCGCCCACTGGATGCGCGCAAGGCGAGGAGGACTGGGGCTGGCCGTTGGCCAAGGTCCTGCAGGCGAAGGAAGCGCGCGCGGACAAGAATCGTTTTTTTGTTCACAGGACGGGGGCCAGCGCAGGACAGCGCGATGGGGAGGCGCGTCAAAGCTCCCCAAGGCATACGAAATCCCGACGAGAGCGGCGATCATGCTTTCTATGGGGCCACGATCTTCGTGAGGGGTGTGCCGAAATGGCCCGAGGCCGCCATGCGAACGCTGCCACTGGGGCCTTCGGTGGAGCCCCCTACAGGGCCACGATCCTCGTGAGAGGTGTGCCGAAAAGGCCCGAGGCCGCCATCCGAACCCTGTCACTGGGGGCCTTCGGAGCTCCCTATGGGGCCACGATCCTCGTGAATGGTGTGCCGACATGGCCCGAGGCCGCCGTGCGAACCCTGCCGATGGCGCCTTCGGCGAAGCTCCCTATGGGGCCACGATCCTCGTGAGGGATGTGCCGAAATGGCCCGAGGCCGCCGTGCGCACCCTGCCGCTGCGGCGCAGGCGCGGGGCGCCGCGCTGGACACCGCCGAGCAGGGGCTGCTGGACCGCTACGACAAGGCGGGAGAACCGAGGCGCATGTACGTCGGCAGGTCAGGCGGCCTGGCGACGGCCCTGCGACCTGCCGAACGGAGACCACCTGCGCATCGGGCGCGGCCCCACCCGCTCGCTGGAGCCTGCCGGGTCGCGGCGAGGCGGGCGCGTCACTAGATGGGCGCCAGTGCGTTCGTCGCCAAGTCGCTGCGCCAACTGCAAGCATCGGACGCGGCGTGCGCGCTGTCGTCGACGCAGTACTCCAAGCCTGCCTGCCTCTTGCTGGAGACCAAGAGCTACCTCGACAAGGTGGCGAGGCACCACGAGATCATCGCGCTGCTGCCGCAGTGGGCGCAGGATTTCTTCTTGGCAGGCATGCGCGTCATGCTGCGGGACCGCTTCGCCATGGTTGCTGGCGACATCATGGAGTACGCTTGCACAGCGGTGGAGAAGGCGACGGACGGCAAGCAGAAGGCGCGGGTGCGCCGGGCCCAGGACAGCTTCCCGAAGGGGGCTGGTCGGACGCACAGGGCGACCAAGCCCCGTGCGCTGCAGCTGGCCTTGCCCAAGTGGACGGAGCGCGACAGGATTGCCCGCCCCGTCAGCGCCTGCGGTAAGGAGATGAAGGAGGTGCCACGAGTCGAGCAGCTTCAGAGGCCGCGCGACATCGACCAGTGGGAGTCTCTCCCCACGCTCACGGTGGGCAGTATGCAGGCTGCTGCGCTGACCTTCTCGACCTCTACGGCGACCGGCCCTCGCACATCGGCTTGCGGGCGCTAGTGCACTTGTCGAAGGTCGGGGTCCACGTGCGCTGCCCTGTTCACGTGCTGCGAGGAGGTCGGTGCTTGGCCCAACGGCAGGATCTGGCACGAGATGGTCAGGCTGCCCAAGCCGACTGGAGGCCGCCGTCTGATCACGTTCATGTATACGTTGGTCAGGCGAGGGCACGAGCGAGGGCCTGCGTACCCAAAGCGTGGCTCTCCGCGCACCCGCAGCGCTGACATCTGGGGTATGGGAGGACGAGGCAAGAGCTCGTCGGACTCGGCCTTCGACCTCAACATCGAGGTGGCGATCTCTGCGGCGCTCGGGGAGTACACGCTCACGGCGCTCATGGACGCCTGGAAGTTCTTCGAGACGACCGTTCCCGCGGCGGTGCTTGCGGAGGCGCTGGAGTTGGGCATGCCGCTGCGCCTCGTCTGGATGCTGTTGGAGCTCTATCGGCAGCCGAGAAGGCTATGCGCGTTCGGTTCGATCTCGTACAGTGTGATCGCGTGGCAGGGGGTGCTGGCGGGCTGCACGCACGCCTGCGCGATGGTCTCGCTCCTGCCCCACAGGCCGCTGCAGCGAATTCGCTGTCTCGGCGCGGTGCCCAGAGCGCTGGTCGACGACGTCGCCCTGCACATGGCGGACTGCAGGGCGCCTGCCCTGGACAAGCTGCGGGCTGCGGCCACCAGGTTCCGAGAGGGTGCCCGCGAGCTCGGCGTCATCATCCAGAGGGGGAAGTCTGGCTATGGCACCCCGTCCGCGGCCGTCGCGCAGCGCTGTCGGCAACACGGTGGAGCGCGAGGCCTCAAGGGCAGGCGCTGGGTCAGGAACCTCTGCGGCCGTCGAAAGGCGCGGCGCCAGACCGCCGAGAGGACGAAGGCGTTGGCTGCGCGCAGGGGCAGGCTATTGCTCTTCAAAAAGGCGGTGGGCAAGGGGGTCGCCTGCCTCCGGAAGACGGGGCCCCACCCCAGTGCCGCGCACGGAGCTGGAGTGTCAGGGGCCACCGACGCCACGCTCGGCAAGCGCAGGAACGAGGCGGGCATGCCGGTCGGGGCCAGGCCTGGGCCCTCGTGCGCCACGGTCTCCCTGGCGACGCAGAGGGCCAAGGAGTTCGACCCCATATACGCGACGACCTGCGACCTGGTCTGCCGCTACGCTAGCTGGGCGTGGAAGCAGCGCACCTCGCTCACGTGCCTGCACCATGCCTGGGTCGAGGCTACGGCCAGGCCGGCGGCTTCCCCCTGCTGGGCGCAGGCACGCGGGCCCATCGTCCACGATCTTCACGCCGTGGCGCATTGGCTGGTTCATGCACTCGTCCGCAGTGCTCCTCTTGACGGAGTCGCCCAAGGACGCCAGGCTGAACCTGGCCATAGGCATCGCGCGGCGGCAAGGGCGGCAGATCCTCCAGCACTACCCACAGTGCGACCAGCAGGCCAGGCTGCGGGCGAGGGCACTGAGACTCTGCGCCGGCGGCCCCAAGGCCCCGGTCGCCGAGGGCCCAGGGGCCATGGGCCCGCGCGTCCACTGGGCAGGGGCGCCTTGGACCAGGCAGGCGCAGTTCGACGCGATGCTGGCCACCTCGTCCGGGTGCGCCGCATGCGGGGCGGAGTCGGACACTCCTGGGCACCGCTTCTTCGGCTGCGAGACCTTCCTGGAGCCAGAGTTCCTGGGCGAGGAGAAGGGCAAGGTGCCCCCCGAGAGTCACGACGTGGCCTGGGCCCTCATGCGCGACCAGGGCCTCAAGATGGGCGGTGGGCCGCAGGCGTGGGACGAGTTCGCGCTGTCGACCTGCTTCCCGTGCATGCCACAGCGCGCCGCTTGCGGAGCGCACCGCGAAGGTGTACTACCGGGGCGACTGGAGCGCCGACCCCAGCACGACGCGCGAGGGCAACGTCGTCTTCACGGACGGGTTGGGCCCGGCCTCGTCGATGCCCGAGCTGCGGCGCTGCGGCTGGGCAGCGGCGCAGGTCTCGACGCAGGTCTCGACGCAGGGCCTGCCAGTGCGCGCCGCGCGCGGGCCTCTGCCGGGTCCCCATCCAGACGGCGGGGCGCGCGGAGAGGCGCGCCCTGCTGCGGGCGTTGCTAGTCGTCTCGCCGCAGCTCGGCGGGCCCGCCGTCGACGCCGTCTTCACGGACCCCCTGGGACTCGCCGAGGAGGCGGCCTCTTGGAAGGCGGCACTCGAGCAGGCTTGCGCGACGCAGGCCACGGGCTGGCGGCGCCTGCGCGCGCAGCCTGCGCGGCCTGCGGTGCGCTGGATCCCCTCGCACACTGAGCTCAAGCAGTTCCAGGAGCGCGGGCTGCACCCCCTCCTATTCATTGGGAAGACGTGGGCGGACCTCTTCGCGGAGGAAGGGGCCGGGGCCCGCGCTGTCTCGCCAGGCTACGCGGACTTCCACGGGGCCGAGATCGAGTGCCACAAGCAGGTCGCGGCTTACATCGCGTGGGCCATGCAGCACATGCTAAACATGTCTAGCCGGCCGGCGACGGACTCGGCAGCGCGCCCCTGCAAGGGGCCCCCGAGCGCGCCGCCCGTAGCGGTGGTGCAGCACCAACTCGTCCTCCTGCGCGGCGGCAGGGTCGCGCTGTGTCGGCGGCGCTGCACATCCACGGCGGCCACCCGAGGTCCGTCGCGGGCGCGGCACCTGCGCCCTCAATGCAGGGAGAGCGAGGTGGCGAAGCTCAAGGCGGACGCCATTATTGAGCATGTGGGGGCGACGTGGTTCCAGGTGTCAGAGGAGGACCTGTTCGCCATGACGGCGCTGGACGCGTCTCAGGGGCTGCTGGACCCAGGAGACCTGGCCGAGGCCCCGTCGACGCTTTGGGCCCTGGGCGACACGGCAATGGACGTGCAGGGCCACCGCTTGCGCAGGGCTGGCCCCACCATCTTCTGCCAGGCGCGCGCGGCCTGATCGGGCAGCGGCACGTCGAGAGCGCTGCTGGAGCCGTGCCGAGGGATGCCCACTGGCGAGGGTCGTGATGCTCGGACCTACTTGTCCACCCTGAGGTCGCGGCTTCGGAGGCTGGAGGCAAGCAGGCTCCCGAAGAGCGGAGAGGCCATTGCCTGGCGGGGAGTTGCTGGCTGAAGCGTGGGTCGGGGCAGAGTCTCGCGCATGCCTTGAAATCGTGCCGCCTGGAAGGGGCGGAGTGCGCCAGTCGGGGTATGCTCCTCGTCGTGTTGGCACTTGCGAGTCGCCCTTCGGGCTCGAGGTGCTGTGGGCGCGGCGGCGGCGGCACTGTCGGCTGGTGTCTGGTCGGCCGACGGTCGGCATGCCCTGGCGGCGGCGTGCTGGCCTGCAGGCGGTGCGCGTGAGAGGAGGCGGCCTACCGGCGCCCAGGCTCCCGCCGCCTGCGAGGAGTGTTGGGGGCGAGCTCCCAGTCCAGGCGGGCCGAACCGCGGCCGCAGCCTGATGCCGCTCTGGCCATCCCCCTGGGCCGAGCGAGGCGGCTTGCGCCGTGCAGGTCGGCGACTTCGGCGACCTGATGCCTCTCTGAGGCCGCACGTTCGGGCATCGCGAGCGTCTATCGGGCCCACGTCGGATGCCTCTCGCCGTCATCTCCTCCTCCTCCTCCTCCTCCTCCTCCTCCTCCTCCTCCTCCTCCTCCTCCTCCTCCTCCTCCTCCTCTCCAGGGGGCCCAGAGGACCCTCGGGACACGTCGTCGTCGCAAGCGCAGGCAGCCCTCGCCGGCGCAGGCCGGTGGCCTTCGACACCGCACCGCGCATGCGCAGACTTCAGGCGGATGGACTTGGTCAGCTCCAGCACTCTTCAGGGGCAACGCTAGTAGGGGGTAGGCTCAGGGGGTACGCATCGACTCCCAGTCCCCATTCATCGCCCATGAGGGCTCGATAGCCCACCCCGCTCCAGAGCGCGCCGATCGATCGGCGATGTACCGCCGACTCCAGCACGATGTACACCACCCTGAACGCTTCTCATCAAATTAGTCAGAAGAGGGGAATTCTGCCGATGCTCGAAGAAAAAAAAACACAAACTCACATGTTCGGAGCTCACTTCGAATTTCTTGGATCTGCATTGGGCCCCCCTGGCAGCGCATCTGGCACCGCCTTTGGCGCGATCGCGCGCCATGGAGGGGACCAGGGGCAGATCCAACGAAGTGGCGCGGAGCTCCGACGGATTGTGTTTGTGTGTTTTTCTGACAGGCCGTCGCCAGGCCCCGGGACCCCCCAAAAAAACGGCTCGGGCTTACAAACATGTCCAGGGAAGGGGTCCAGATCTCGGGAGCTCCACGTTGTGAAAAAAATGCAAAAAGTCTTGAGTGTTGAAGAGGAAGGCTTCTGCTGTCCTCCTTGCCGAAGGTGGCCCTGGCCCAACGTGTTCCCAGGATTGTTAGAAAGCTCCCGCGGTTTCTAGGGCACCCTCGCGGCTCCAAACTGGCTTGAAAAGTTGGGGACCCGTGATGATGTCGACGACCGCCACGACCACGACCACGACCACAATGACGACGACGACGACGACAGCGACAGCGACGACGACGACGACGACGACGACGACGACGACAATGATGACGACGACGACGACGACGAGACGAGGACGACCACGCCGACGACGACAGCGACGACGACGACGACGACGCTGACGACGACGACGCCGACGACGAGGACGACCACGCCGACGACGACAGCGACGACGACGACGCTGACGACGATGACGCCGACGCCGACCACGACTGACGACGCCGAGCACGACTTATGACGGCGACGACGACGACGACGACGACGACGACGACGACGACGACGACAACGACAACGACGACGACGACGACGACGACGACGACGACGACGACGACGACGACTTCGACGACCGCCGACTGCAACGGCCTCAGGCGCTCTTCGGGCTGATCGGCGCACAGCCCGTTCCCTCCTGCTCCTGCTACTGCTCCTTCTCCTCCTCTTGCTCCTCCTCCAGCTCCTGCTCCTGCTCCACGTCCTCATCCTCCTCCTCTTACTCCTCCTCCTCCTCTTTCTCCTCTTCCTCCTCATCCCCCTCGATCCTCGCCCTCCGCCGACGCCCTCGCCGTTCACGTCGCCGCAGGCGCTCTTCGGGCTGATCGCCGCGCACCCCGCGCCGTACCCGCTCCGGCCTCCCAGCCCCGCGCCGCAGTGCCTGGCGGCGCACCACCCGGGCTGCAGCGGGCTGGTGCAGGCCGCCGCCGCCGCCGCCGGAAGCCCTTGCCGCCGCCGAGAGCCGCCGCCGCTCTTCGGCAGGCTCGCCAAGAGGCGCCCGCCATAGATGCTGCCTTGACTCCTACTCCTCACACAGCTTACATCTTCCTTGTCGAGATGCCCGACGCTGCTGTTGTAGCTCGTCCAGACGAAGCAGCAGATTCTTCTCAAACTCTGACCCAGCCCAGCGACGACAAGGGCTCGGGCAACGACAGGGCGCGGGGTCGTCTCAGTGAGCGGGGGACGTCCAGACCGCCCCGAGCCTCCGCCAGAGACCCGAGCTACGGCCCCGAAGACCGTCGTGGTCGTCGACGCCGCAAGCGACGGCCCAGCCGCGGGCGGCGCGCCTCGGCGGCGCCGCCAGCGGTCGGCGTCGGGCTCGAAAAGTGACGCAGAGACATGGGGTCGCGGGCTCCGGGCGTGATCTTTCACGATGTTGCAATGGTTTCGCTACGTCGGATCCCAGGGCGTGTCCCTCCTCAGTGCTCCTGACTCTTTCCTGGCCCTCCCCCCCCCGCGTCCCTCCCTCGTCCTACCCCTCGTCGCCGTGGGCCAAGGATCGGGTGCCGAGGGTCGAGGATCGAGGATCGAGGGTCGAGAGTTGTGGGTCGGTCAAGCGAGCGAGGCTCGATGACCAGGGCCGCTGGGGCGCTTCTGGCGTTCCCTGGGACCACCAGGGACCCCTGGAGTCCTCCAGGAGACCTCGGGTGATCTCCAGGGCCCCTCCAGAAACCCTTCGGAGGTCGTCGCCGCCGCCGGCGTCGACCTCGGGCCGAGGGGCGACGGTCGAGGGTCGAGGGTCGAGGGTCGAGGATCGATCCATCGAGGCTCGACAGGGCCGAGGGTCGAGGGTCGGTCGAGCGAGGCTCAACGACCGAGGCCGTCGGGGCGCTTCTGGCGCTCCTCGGGGCCGCCGGGGCCCCTGGAGGCCGTCGGGAGGCGTCGCCGGCGCCAGCAGCCCTCGCTGGCGTGGGCCGGTGGCCTTGGGCGTCGCACCGCGCGAATGCGCAGATTTCGGGCGCATTGGCTTGTTCAGCCCCAGCTTTCATCAGGGCCAACGTTAGGGGTGGATAGGCTCAGGGGGGGAACCCAGAAATCCAACGTATTAAATCATTCACTGCGTGGAGCTCCCCACATGTACATCTCTTTGCATTGGCATTTCGGCCGTGGATGTCGAGGCGCAAGAAATTTCGAATACAAACGAGCTTGGATATTGACAGCCTGGGAGAGAGTCTAACTGTGGATGACTTTGAGTGTGTACGAGCCCCAGCAGAACGAGTGAGTCTATGCGCGTGAGCCTGCGCATGGCTGAGCTTAGGGTGAGAGTATCTGCACGTCAGTGGCCTGAGCAGGACTGAGCGTGACTGAACCCTCCTAGGGTCTCTTGAGGCTTCCTGGGGCTTCCTCAAGTCTCCTGGGGCTCCTGGGGCCTCTTGGGGCCTTTCTGGGGCTTCCTGGGGCTTCCTGGAGCCTCTTGGAACTCCTGGGATCTCCTGCGGCTTCCTGGAGCCTCCTGGGGCCTCTTGGGTGGGGCCTCCTGGGGCATCTTGGGGACTGCTCCTCCTTGAGCCTCCTGGGGCTTCCTGAGGCTTGGGGCTTCCATGGACCTTCCTGGCGTTTGCTGCAAACTGAGCCTCCTGAGACCTCCTGGGTCCTTGCTGGCGTTTCCTGGGGCTTCCTCCTGGGGCCTCCTGGGCCTTCCTGGAGCCTCCTGGGGAGGATTCGTGCCCCCAGGGGTGACTCCAAAGACGACACTCTTCAATTGTCGTGTTGGCCCCTCCAGGGTGACCACCCAGGTGGGGCCCGCGGCTCTCCTCCCATCTGAGAGGTGGTCACCGGGAGCCGCTGACGAGCTGAGGAGGAGCACGGCGTCAGGCAGCGGTGCCGAACGGACGAGTGAGATACCCCTAGAGGTGCTGGAACCAGCGCCTCGTCCGAGACAGGCAACCGCTCGAGACATCCTCGCAATTGAAGGAGGAGGAGGAGGAGGACGAGAAGCAGAGGGAGGAGGAAGAGGAGAATGATTAGAAGGAGGAAGAGGAGGAAGAGGACGGAGGAGGAAGAGGAGGAAGAGAAGGAGAGACGGAAACTCCACAGAATCTTCCCCCCACCGACAACCATGGGTGCGCACGGAAGCCGTGCGACTGGTATCGATTCGAGGCTACGCCGTTGGGGGCTCCCGTGCAGAGCTAAATCCAACAAACCGCCTGAGTCATGGCCGCAATGTAAGCGCGCACGGAGGCCGTGCGACTAGTATCGATAAGAGGCTACGCCGCTGGCGGCCCCTTTGGGGAGGTAAATCCAGCAAACCGTCCAAGACATCCTCAGAATCTGCTCTGAACGCAGACGGGTCTGGCCACCAAAACAGACAAACCGCCTGAGACATCCTCAACATCGGTTCCGAAAACGAAGGATGTCAGGCACCGAAACAGGCAAACCGCCTGAGACATCCCCGTTATCTGGGCGCGAACGGAAGCCGTAAGTACCCCTGGCGGCCCCCCCTTAGGAGTGCAAAAACCAGCGCATGGCTCGAGACATCCTCAGAATCTGCTCTGAGCGCAGACGAGTCTGGCCACCAAAACAAGCAAACCGCTCGAGACGTCCTCGTAATCTGGGCCCCCTGGAGTGCGATAGCCAGCGCCTCGCACGAGACATCCTTCTAATCTGCTCCGAAAGCGAGGGATGTTCGCGACCAAAACGGCAAACCGCCTGAGACATCCCCGCAATCTTGGCGCGAACGGAGGCCGTGAGATACCCCTGCTGGCCCCCCCTTACAAGGCGCCTCGCACGAGACATCCTCAGAATCTGCTCCGAAAACGAAGGATGTTCGCGACCAAAACAGGCAAACTGCCTGAGACATCCCCGCAATCTGGGCGCGAACGGAGGCCGTCAGATACCCCCTGGCGCCCCCCCTTAGGAGTGCTAAAACAAGTAAGCCGCTCGAGACATCCTCATCATTTGCTCATCGTCATCGTCATCATCATCTGCTCATCGTCATCATCATCATCATCATCATCATCATCATCATCATCAGCAGCATCAGCACCAGCATCAGCATCAGCATCAGCATCAGCATCAGCATCAGCATCAGCATCATCATCATCATCATCATCATCATCATCATCATCATCAGCATCATCTTCAGCTTCAGCTTCAGCTTCAGCTTCAGCTTCATCATCATCATCATCATCATCATCATCATCATCATCATCATCATCAGCATCATCAGCAGCAGCAGCAGCATCATCCTCATCCGTAGCCATTTGGGCTCAAGCCGGTGTGCTAGCGGCCCTCGGCGGTTGGCGCGGTTTGGGATGGCGTTGGCGGCGGCCCTTTCGCGGGCGGACGCTGGTGGCGGCGCGCTGGGCCCGAGTGCGGCACGGCGGCAGCGCAGGCGTGCTAGCCAGGCGTGGGCTCGCTGGTCGGGGGACGTGTTCGCCTACGACCTGCAGCGGGCGGCCAAATTCTGGAGAGGCACGTACGAGAAGCTGGCGGCGGCGGCGCTGGGAGACCCCTCCATCGCGGGCCGCCTCGCGGTGGTGGCGGGACACCTGCACGACCTGGTCCACAAGAAGGTCGCGTCGCCCGTCGACACGCTGCGGAGGAACGTGGCGCTCCACTCGGCCGTGGTGCCGTGGCCGCTGGCGGCGGCCCCTGTTGCGGCGCTGCGCCGCGCCCAAAAGGGCGCGCCGCTGCCCGCGGTCCCCTGGTTCTCCGCGCTTAACGGCGCGGCGGTGCCCTTCGTGCTGTGCCGCGACTACTTCATGGGCGACGTCATGGGCGCCACCGTCGACAGCGCCGACGTCGGCACCGTCATGGGCGAGGTCGGCGGCGCGAGCGACGGCTCCGCGGTGAGAGAGTTGCTCACGGTCGACAGGCTGCCCGAGGGCCTCGGGTGCGAGGCGACGCGGGCGCCACCACCGAGATCTCCGAGGAGCTGGTGGTGGAGGAGATCGTGCAGGAGGGCCTCGAGGGGGAGTTGGAGGACGCGCAGTGCCTGGGTGAGGTGGGGGGCACGGCCCCACGGCACTGGGGCAGGGCGGCGTTGTCGGCGTGCTGTCCGACGACGTGGACGAGTTCAGCGTCGACGGCACCGCCCCGACAGCTCCTGCGAGCGACGCCGAGGAGTTCGAGGAGGAGGAGCTGGAGGCCCACGCTCACGATGTCGGCGCCGACGGCCAGAAGCAGGCCGTGGTGCAGAGTCACGGCGACGTGGGCGCAGGCGGGGGCCTCTCGGACGGTGAGCTTGCAGGCAGGGATGGCGCCGGGGCGGGGATCGAGGGGACGACGCGCTTCTTCGACTGGTTAAACGACGAGGCGCTCTTCGGCCCCAACGGCCTCGTGGAGAAGGCCCAGTTCCTGGACCCGGCCGCGTCCACGATGCAGCGCGACGCAGTGGAGGTGCTCCGCTGGCGTGCGCTGGACAGGGTCAAGGACGACCACGCCGCGGAGCGCGACGGGGGCACAGACAAGGGCGTGGACATGGACGAGTGCATGCAGGCAGTACGGGCCGAGGCCCAGGAGCAGACGGAGCGAATGGGGTGTTGATGTGATGCACCGCACTTGAATGGAGCGGCAGTTCGGTGGGGGTTGGCGTTTCGGCCTCGACTCACCGCGGGAGAGCGGGATCATCATCATCATCATCATCATCATCATCATCATCATCATCACCATCATCAGCAGCATCATCATCATCATACTCATCCCTCACTCACCATCACTATCATACTCACATTATACTCTCACCAGACCATGGTCATCATCATGACACTCATCACCATCGTTTAGTGCAGAGAGGGAGGAGGGAGGGGAGGGATGATGATGAGGGGTCCGGGGCGGTCAGAGAGTAACAAGACCCCATCCTTTGGATATGGGGAAAAACACGACGGATGTTTTTCTTAGTTTTCGGCCTCTACGGGCCTTCGCCGGGCCCCGAGACCGTCAAAGAGAGACGCAGGATGAAAAACCGGTCTTGGGGAACGGGTCGAAATTTCTGGGGACCCCGTATTAAAACAATCACGACATCGGATTTTTGGGAACGCATCGACCCCCATTCGCCCACCGATCGCCGATAGGCGCACGATCGCCCACCCCGCCCAGGAGCGTGCGGTTTCGCTACTGGGGGCACGTCGCCGATCGATCGGCGATTCATAGCCGATCCAGCACGGCGTTTCCCCCCTGAGCTGGCCCCCCCCACTGTTGCCCCTCAGCTTTGCTTCGACTTTGGGGGTCGTTTTCGGGACCTTGCACCATCCATCGTGGATCCGATCCGAGACTCGCGGGTTGTAATTGTCCTGGCGAAGGACCCAGCCATATGCAGGCGTGAGTACCGCAGGTCAGCTGGGACGAAGAAGGGCGAGCTCCTTAAAACGCTTTCGGTTGGGCTCCCTGGGGGGCCACGAACCGTGTGAGATAGTGCCAAAATGGGTGGCGGTTCCCGCATGCGGCCTGTGCCATTGGGGCCTTCGGTGAAGCTCCTTGTGGGGCCACGAACCGTGTGAGGGGTGTGCCAAAATGGTTGGCGGTCCCCGCATGCGGCCTGTGCCAGTGGGGCCTTCGGTTGAGTTTTTTGGGGGCCACGAACCGTGCGAGGGGTGTGCCAAAATGGGCGGCGCTCCCCGCATGCGGCCTGTGCCAGTGGGGCTTTCGGTGGAGTTCCATGTGGGGCCACGAACCGTGTGAGGGGTGTGCCAAAATGGGCGGCGGTTCCCGCATGCGGCCTGTGCCACTGGGGCCTTCGGTGAAGCTCCTTGTGGGGCCACGAACCATGTGAGGGGTGTGCCAAAATGGGTGGCGGTCCCCGTATGCGGCCTGTGCCACTGGGGCCTTCGGTGGAGTTTTTTGTGGGGCCACGAACCGTGTGAGGGGTGTGCCAAAATGGGTGGCGGTCCCCGCATGCGGCCTGTGGCATTGGGGGTTTCAGTGGAGCTCCCTGTGGGGCCACGAACCGTGCGAGGGGTGTGCCAAAATGGGTGGCGATCCCCGCACGCGGCCTGTGCCATTTGGGCCTTCGGTGGAGCTCTTAGTGGGGCCACGAACCGTGCGAGGGGTGTGCCAAAATGGGCGGCGGCCCCCGCATGCGGCCTGTGCCACTGGGTCCTTCGGTGGAGTTCCTTGTGGGGCCACGATCGGTGTGAGGGGTGTGCCAAAATGGGCGGCGGCCCCCGCATGCGGCCTGTGCCAGTGGGGCCTTCGGTGGAGTTTTTTGTGGGGCCACGAACCGTGTGAGGGGTGCGCCAAAGTGGGTGGCGGTCCCCGCACGCGGCTGTGCCAAAACAATTCAGGTTCCCCCCGACACCATTCTTGGCACATCACCAGCACCTCGCGGAGAAAGAGGAAGCAGGGGAGGAGGAGTGAGGAGGAGGTGACGCGGGGCGCTGTCTCTTCAAAACGAGGACCCAACACCACAGGATGGTTGGAAGAAAGCAAGTGATCGGAGAGCTGGGTATTGGGGTGCCGCCATGGCTGCCGCCGCGGGCGCCCTCTTCTTTTGCCACCAGCGTCGGCTCGGTGCGGTCGAGATGGGCACGAAGAGTAACAGCAGTTCTTGGGGTAACGATAGGGGGCATAGGCATAGGGGGGACGCATCGACCTCGAATGGTTGATACATCGAAGATGCATCGTTGATACCAGGGCGATGCATCGACGATGTACAGACGACACACGGGGCGGTCTGCATCGGCGCTGCGTCGACGATACATGGGCGCTGTATTGGCCATTCTCGATGCATCCCCCTTATGACCATCCCCTCCTATCGTTGCCCCTCAAGTTCCTGCCCATTCTGAACAGGACTCGCTCTCGGCGTCGCCGCGGACGTTGCCCTCTTGAGACAGAAGGGCGGCTGCCTCACAGCGGCCTCTGCTGGTTTGGGGCAAGAGTTGATCTTGGGCATCGCACCCATTTTTGCCGTGCTCCTTTCGGGCGTCCAGATCGGACTTCGCTCGTCGTCGGCGTCGCCCCTGGGGTCGCCGCCGCCGCCGGCCGAGGCGTCGTCGGCGTCGCCCTCGGCGTCGCCCTCGGCTCAGAGGCGACGACAGGGGCGAATGATCCGGGGGAAAGCAATACGTGTATCCAGGGGCGCCGATGATTTACGTCTTCGACAAGGCTCCCGGGCGAGTACATGTAATGCCCGCCCCTGGGCGTATTCGCCCTTATCGTCGCCGCCGATCGGCGTCGCCCTCGGAGTGCTCGTCGTCCTCTCCGTCGTCCGAGGCCGAGGGCGGGGGGCGCTCCGCCATGCCTCCGCGGGGCCCTCCGGTGGCCCCTGCGGAGGGGCCTCGTGGACTCTCGGGCAGGTCCCGTCGCCGTTGGTTTAAGTCGGGCGTGTCCCCCTACAGGGGGGTTTTCGACGAAAAATACAAGATACCCCAAAAATATTCCAAAATGATCCAAAAATACTCAAAAATTGTCCCCAGACTATTGTTTTACTATTTTTGAATTTTCCCCCTGTAGAGGGGCAGGCCCGACTTAACCGTTGGTGTGGGCGTTCTTCGTCGCCATCTTCGGCGTGTTTGCCGTCCTCGTTGTCGCCGCCGTCGTCTCGTCGTCGTCTTCGTCGTCCTTTCCTTCTCTCCTGTCGCCGCCCCCCCCCCCCCGGGCATGCGGGGGAGAAAGAATAAGGGCGTGGAGCAAGGAAAGGAAAGGAGCTGGAGAAGGAGAAGGAGGAGGAGCATGCAGCACGAGCACATGAGCACTTCGTCCCTGAGGGGGACGAGGAGGAGGAAGAAAAAAGGAGGAGGAGGAAAGGGAAAAGAGGAGGAGGAGAAGAGGAAAAGAAAAGGAGGAGGAGGAGGAAGGGGAAAGGAGGAGAGAGGAAGGAAAGAGAGTGGGAGATTCCTCCTCCCGCCAGGAGGATCAGGAGGAGACAGGACGAGGACGGGGGCGACAACAAGACGAGGACGAGGAACGAAGAGGACTAGGCCGGGGAGGAGAACCAGGAGCAGGGTGACGAGGCCAAGGCCGAGCACAGTGACGAGGAAAACGAGGCAGAGGTGGAGGAGACGGGGAGCGTGACTAGAAGGGCGTTGAGGAGCAGGAGGAGGACGAAGGCGAGGACGGCGACGGCGACGGCAACGACGACGACGACGACGGCGACGGTGACGGCGACAGCGGCGACGGCGACGGCGACGGCGACGACGACGGCGGCGGCGGCGGCGGTGACGTTGGCACCGCTGCCGCGCGCGCCCGCGCGCAGCCCCCCCAGGGCAGGCCAGTGGCGGCCCCGCAGAGGAGGGCGACCGCCGTCCTCTGGCCGCCGATCCGCCGCCGATCCGCCGCCGATCCGCCGCACTGTGCCATCGCCGCCGCCGCTCACCGCCGAGCTCGCCGAGCATCGAGGGCCCGAGGTCGAACGGGTTCTCCGCCACCCTCCTCGGAGAGGGAGAGACAGCGGCAGGAGCCTGAACTTCTGGCGCCCCGCGCGGACTCATGGGATCTGCAACCGGGGACCCAGCTGGCGCCGCCCCTGGCGCGCTCCCCGCGCGCCGGGGGAGGGAGCGCCCCAGCGCAGATCCAAGACATCCGCGCGGAGCGCCAGAAGCAAAAGCTGCCTCCCTCTCGGCCTCAGGAGGCCCGCGTCGGACCCGGGGGCCGTCAGCCGCCGGTCCAGGGGGGGGGAAATGGGCCCCGGCCAGGATGGGGCACGAGTCTCGGAGGAGCGAGCCAGAGGCCTTGCCCGGAGAATGCCACCCCGGGGCCTCGCTCTCCGAGGGCCCCTCCCGGAAGGGGTCCAGGGACCGATCTTGAACGGAGTTTGGTCCTCCTCCCCCGAGGACCCTCGGAGGCAGGCGACCAGTCGACGTCGCTGCCGCCGTCGTCACCGCCGCCGCTGCCGTCGTCGTCATCATCCCCGTCGTTCTCGCCGACGTCGTCGTCGCTCTCGCCGTCTTCCGCCGTCCGTCGTCGTCGTCGTCGTTCCTCGTCATCTTTGATCATAACCACCATCATCAGCATCATCATCGGCGTCATCATTATCAGCATCATCATCTTCACTTTCAACACGTGGGCTGGATAACAGATCCTGGGACCCGACGGGGCTGGCTGCTGCTAACGCCTCGGCGTCGCCTTCTGGAAGGCCCAGGGTTTTTACGCATACGGCCACTACCAGCGCGCCGACAAGATTAGATAGTTGCGCCGCCCCCTCAAGAACACGAGTGGCGTTCCTCACTGCCGAGGCGCATTGCACACGGTTGAAGTTGTTCGGTCGTTTCTTCCCCCTTCCCTGAAACGCTCTTCGGATCTTCTTGGGGCGCTTTGCTTCTGAGATCTCTGAGTTCCAAGAGCTTTTCAGGTTCGTTTGCTCCCTGGTGTTGCTTCAACCGCATGGCAATGTATTATTGTGTTCCTCTGCTTGCGTCGCATGTGTATTTGTGTTACTTCGTGCTTCACCGTCCCTTGGTCCACATTGCTATGCGTTGCCTTGATCTGTGGCACTCCAAATTGTCGCTACGGTGCAACGCTAATTGGCTTAGGCATTGTTTGATGTAGTGCGTACTGTAGGCAAGTACAGCAATAATTGTGACAGGCACTAATATTGCAGGTCCGCGCGCGGCACGAATACGGATATGAATCGAACCTACGCGTCAGAAAAATATGGAGTTGGAGAGGAAATCTTACATGAATTTCCCGAGTTAGGATTCTGAATCGTGGAGGAATTCGAGTCAAGGGCCGAAGAGTAAGATTGGAATGAAGAAGAATCTGCAGTTTAATTCCCAGAGGTAGAAAGGATTTCGAATCGCAGAGGAATCCGCATTCGAATTTCCAAAGCATTGCCAGGACCACCGAGAAATATGGGGTTGGAGAGGAAGTTGCATTTGAATTTCTAGAGTTAGAACGGATTTAGAATCGCGACAGAATTCGAATCCGAATTGTCCAGAGTATTGCCGGGGCCAAAGATTCTGATTCGCGGCGGGATTGGAAGCATATTTGCCCGAGGATTGCCAGGGCCAGGAAGAAGTATGGAGTTTGAGAGGAATGTGCTTATTTAATATCTAGAGTTCGAAAAGATCCTGAAGCGTAGAGAAATTCTAACCAGAATTGCCAGGAAATTATTGAGTCGGAGAGGAATGTGCATATGAAGTTCCAGAGTTCGGATTTGAAACATTGCCAGAGACGTGCCAGGGCCAAGCAGCAATTTGGAGTTGGAGGAATTTGCATATGAACCCGTAGAGTTAGGAAGGATGTCGAATCTTAGAGAAATTCGAAGCAGAATTGCAATATGCGTGTCAGGGCCAGGCAGAAATATGGAGTTGAAGATGTATTTCTAGAGTTAGAACGGTTTCTCCATCTGAGAGGAGTTCGAATCAGAATTACCCGATACGTGCCAGGGCCAGAAAAAAAAACATGGAGTTGGAGACAAGTTGTATCTGAATGTATAGTGTTCGAAAGGATTTGGGACCCTAGAGGGATCCGAATCAGAATTGCCAGGGACGTGCCAGAGACATGCTAGGGCAAGGAGTACATGTGTGGAGTTGGAGAGAAATTTGCACACTTCCTACACTTAGAAAGGAATCGGAATCTTAGAGGAATTCGAATTCGAATCAGAATTGCCAGGGAAGTGCCAGGGCCAGGCAGAAATATGGAGTTGCAGAGCAACTTGAATATAAATATCTGGAGTTAGAGCGGGCTGGGAATCTCAGAGGAATCCGAATCAAAATTGCCAGGAGCGCGCCAGGGCCAGGAAGAAATATGGACGTGGCGTGGAATTTGCAGCTGAGCTTCAAGCGTCAGAAAGGACTCTGAACGTTAAAGGAATTCAAATCAGCATTGCCATGAACCCGCCAGCGCCAGGAAGGAATGTGAAGTCAGGAGAGGAATTTGCATAGTTACGAATTCCGTGAGCCAGAAAGGGTTTTGAATCTGAGGGTAGTTCGGATCAGAATGGCCAGAGACGCGCCAGGGCCAGGAAGAAGTGCGGAGCTGGAGAGGGATTTGGCACACGAAGCTCCGAGGGCCAGACGGGACCCGGCGTCGGTCATCGGCGCCGCCGCCCCCGAAGGCTCCTCTCTCTGATGGGGGCGCGCGTCGGCCAGGATATTCCGACACGGATACAGCCGCGGCGACGAGGGCCCCCGGCGGGCGAAGGAACGAAAGCGCCTCCGGCGGGCGCAAGCGCAGGAATGGAGGGCGAGCACGGAGGAAGGAAGCGACAACGGAGGAAGGGCGGGCGGACACGGAGGAAGGAGGGTGCCTCCGACGGGCAAGCTCGAAGGAAGAACGGGCGAACACGGAGGAAGGAAGCGCAAACGAAGGACGGGCGGGCGAACGAAGGAAGGACGGTGCCGGCTTTTTTTGACCCCCGGTGAAGTCGACGAAAAAAAAAACGGCAGGAACGTAAATTTTTGGTGGTGGGCTTGTTTTCCACCGCCACCACCATAAGTAGGAGGGGAGGGCGTCCTCTTCTTCCTCCTGCTCCTCCTCATCCTCCACCTCCTTCCCCCCTCCAATTGATGGTGGTGGTAGCGGAATTCAGGCCCATCATTTGGCGCTCCGCGCGGATTTCTTGGATTTGCGACGGGGCCCTCCCGGCGGCGCCTCCGGCGCCGCCCATGGCGCGCTCCGCGAGCCAGGGAGGGGGGCCCCCTGCGGATCCGAGAATTCCGCGCGGAGCTCCAAAAGTTTTTTGTTTATGTTTTTTTCGTTCTTGCATGGGGTTTAGGATCGCTTCGACTGGCTGGCCACCTTAAGGACGAATTATTCTGCCATTCTCGAAGCTGCGTGCGCCGTCCGGGGAAAAAATCTGCGGGTACCCCTTCCTCCTCTGCCCTCCTCTTCCCCTCCTCGTTCCTGGGAGGGGGAGGGCGACGAGGAGGTGGTGGAGGTGTCTACTCTTGGGTCCCGTCGGAACGCGATGCCACTGTTCCCCGGCAGATCTCCGGGGCGCATCCTGGCCAGGATCCAGAGCGAAGATATCCAGTTCTGGCGACGAGGGCCCCGCCCGGGGGGCGACGGCGGGGTGCGACGGGAGGGCGCAGTCAACCCGCATGGTAAGGATGGGCCACTTTCCCGAGGGTGGCCCCTGCATCCTTGCCTGCTCGGCCCATGTTTGGCCACCTTCGTCGGCCGCGCCCCGCTCGAGAAGCTTCGGCATGGGCGTCCCAGGTCCTTGCATCCTCGTGGCGCATCCTTATGATGGCGACGACTGGCGGCGCCGGCATTGGTCCCCAGCTCGGCATCCGTGGTTCAAGACGTGTTACACGAATGAATTGCGCGAGGACACGCGCTGGCATCATACGTTCCGTTCCATGTGGTTGTCGAGTTCTTCAAAGGTTTGCCTATATACTCTTCCTCCATCGCTCCATCCCTCTCCCCGCTCCTCTTCCTCCTTCATTACGTCCCTCCGGCACTCCGTCCCTTTGTCGCTTGCTCCCTCCCTCCTACAGGCTGAATGCATCCCTCCTCCAGTCCCTCCCGTCCCCCGGTCACTATTGCTGTATCGCTACCATCTCGTCTCCCATCGCCTCCTTCTCTCCCTTCCCCTGTCCGCCTTCTTCGCTGCACCCCCCCCTCCCCCCATCGCCCGCGCCCTCCCCCTTCCCCATCGCCGTCGTCGCTGATGTTGCCGCCGTCGCCGCTGTCGATGTCGCCACCGCCGTAGTCGTCGTCGTCGTCGTCGTCGTCGTCGTCGTCGTCGTCGTCGTCGTCGTCGTCGTCGTCGCTGTTGCTGTTGCTGTTGCTGTTGCTGTTGGTGTTGTTGTCGTCGTCGTCGTCGTCGTCGCAGTGATGGGCGCCGTCCTCGTCGCCCTCCTTCTTCGCCTCCGTGGTCGCCCTCGTCGCCGCCGAGCGCCGCCGTGGCCGCCCCGCCGCCGGCCCCTGTCGCCCGCCCGCCCCACCTCGCGCCCCAGCCCGGCGACGCTGCTGGCGCCGCCGCGCGCGGGCGCCCCCGCGCGGGCGCGGGGGCCGCCGCAGGGGCGGCCGCCGCCGCTGCCGCCGCCGCGGGGCGCGACGACCTGCGTGGTGGGCGCGCCGGTGCCGCCGGGGGGCGTCGGCGTCGTGGTCGTCGGCGTCGGCGCATCGCGGTCGGCGCCGGCGCTGCCGTCGAGGTCGGTGACGTCGACGACGACGCTTCCGTCGACGCCGTCGCTCTCGCCATCGAGGTTCTGTGCGGCCTCGTCCCGTCCCCCCCCTCCCATGTCTTCGCCCTGCGGCGTCGTGGTGGAGATGGTGATCGTCGTGGCGTCGTCGTCGTCGTCGTCGACGTCGTCGTCGTCGTTCTCGTAGTCATCCGTAGA